AAGAGACAGCTGGACACATCAGGGCACACTAAGATCAAGTAAAACTCAGAAAGCACTTCAAGTTTCTTTTTTTGTCCAAACTAAAAGAAAGTCCAGGCTTGTTTATCAAAGCTTTTGTAAATCATATGTAAATATATTCTTTGTGCTGATAGAAGTGACAATAATGTCCAAAAATAATTACCAGAGGGAAAAAAAAAAGGGAAAAGAAGCTGGACACATCAGGGCACACTAAGATCAAGTAAAACTCAGAAAGCACTTCAAGTTTCTTTTTTTGTCCAAACTAAAAGAAAGTCCAGGCTTGTTTATCAAAGCTTTTGTAAATCATATGTAAATATATTCTTTGTGCTGATAGAAGTGACAATAATGTCCAAAAATAATTACCAGAGGGAAAAAAAAAAGGGAAAAGAACCATCCCCTGAAGCAATTACCTTTATAAGCTTTGGACATTAAGTTCCTAAGCATTTCTTTAGCAGAACAGGTAATGCATTAATTTGTATTGATAATGCTAATCACTTTCCATCAAATTTATTAATGCATTTTCCATGTTTATTTTTGCATGCCAGAGCTTTCTACCATGCTGCTAGGCAAAATTAGATTTTACAGATAACCTAAACAAAACTAGTATTTATCTTTCTACCTACTAAATTAAATCAACTCAGAGAACCTTTCTATTTCGACATGTGTGTATATTACATTTGCATAATGTGAGCCTTTTAGCCCTTAATTTTCCCTACTCACTTTGGCAAAGATATAGCTAATGAAAATCAAACCTGCTGGTGTCTCTAGTGGGGGGACCCATATGAAGTGTGTCCAAAGGCTGCCTGAGCTCTGGCATTCCAGGAGCCTGTTGCTCTAGGGCAGCTGGGGGACAGGACAAGCCATGGAGGGAATTCAGCAGACAACAGGCCAATGATTGCTGTTCCCAGATTTGGTTAGAGTGTAGCAGTGCCAGATTCCAGCAATTGCAGGAAACCCTCTTGAGGGGAGCAGGGTGCCCATAAATACTACTCAGTGCACATTTTCTCACCCAAAATCATGCTGGAGCTGCTGCATAACTCTATATGCGGCATCCATCTCCTCCACGCTGTTGTCTCTTCAATTCTTACCTCTGGTAACATCTGCCCTTCTTACTAAAAAGATGCAACATGGTCTCTGATGTGAGAATTAAGGATTCTTTTTGCTTTGTGAGGCATGTAAGCAAAAACCACTCCTTGACTTGCACAGCAACTCAGTAAGGGCTTTTGGGTGTGTGAGTTAAAATCATGCATGTCATTTCTTATATATGGAACCACCTAGTCACCTTAAGAAATGCTGAATCTAGGTATATGAAGCATTTGGAACTTCATGCAAAGAATGTTTATGTTTTTCTGTTCTGTTAGCTACTCTCTAATGCTTTCATTATCATTATTAGCATTGTGTTGTGAGCCCTGGGATGCGGAAGGAGCTATACTGTGGGTTTGAGTGAGCAAGCAGGCATACAATACAAAAGTAAAACATAAACAGTAATTCTGTTTCCCTTGCAGCCTCAGTAATTTTAAGAAAGCTATTTTTTAGGAAGTTGAGTATTCTTATTTAGTTACATATATTCAAAATAAGTGAATATTTAAAACTAGCTCTGTACTGTAGACAGGGGAAGCACTACTTTCTGTGACTGTGTAATACTTAAGGCCTAGTATAAGGCTCAAAGTATCAATCTGTGCAGGCAATTCCAGGGCAAAGGGTGGCTTTCCTCTGTCTGCTGCTTATGGGTTTTTGATGCGGGGGGACTTTTGTCTCAGGTTTTGTTGCTCCATGCTATGTCAGATTGCATCGTCCCAAACTGCCTTCAGCACAGTATTTCTCCAAGAAAGTGGTTTGAGGTGCTAAACTTTAGGGTAGGTTTAACCGTACCTAGAAGCATATTTATTCAGCTGTTGCATATAATGTTTTTGTTTTAACATGCCTCTTTAATTTGTTGATAAGCAGTTTGAACAATTCTGTGTCTTACAACATCTGCTTTCCTTTAACGTTCTTCCCAGGGTCAGCGACTTTTTGAAAAATTGCTTGAACTGGCATCCCAAAATATTGAGATCAAACTAGTGAGTGATATTCTGCCCGTGGAATCAAAGGTATTAAACGACTTGAAAAGAAAGGGTAAGACCAAGGTCTTTATGTTGTTATGCCATTGACTGATATGTAATGTTCCTTTACTTAAAATGCAGACTCAGATGATGTCTAAAATGTACTCCAATGATATTACCCTATAATCCCTCAGCTTTCTCTGGTTCATAGTTATCAAAGATCTGAAACTCTGTTACTGCAGTTGATGTTTGCAGTTTGCAAGCAATTAAAAAGGTGGTGCAGTGATTGGATAGGAGTTTAAATTCACTGTAGCTATTTAAATGGTAGGCAATGTAACCTGAGAGACTACTGTAATAACTTGTGGGACAAGCTAGTTTCTTCTTTTGAGCAATAGCAAAATAAATTAATAAAACAATGTGTATAGTACTGATGATTCTGAAGCACTGGAAAATAAAGCATTGGTCATATTTAGCCATCTGACAAGGTTTTCTGTGCTGTGTATATTTCTTTGGTGTCTGTTCGCCTAAATCTCATAAGAGACTCTCTTGGGAGTTTTAGGAATGTCATACTTATTTCTCCTGAATAATAATGTGTTAGTTGTCTGTATAATCTGAGACAAGCATGATTTTAAAGCTAGGGTACACTTCTCAAAGGGAAAAAAAAGCCCTATATATTTTGATGGTGATCATTTTTGACACAGACAACTATATGGATTGCAAAGGAAATTCTGAAAAAATTAATTAAGCAAAGGAGTTGCTATGTGTGGCAGCTCCCTAATAAAGCATGTCTGGCTTTGGTAAAGAATAAAGAACACCTTTTGCTAAAAAAAATAAGTCTATATTTGTTTAAATTCCTTGTAATCTCCTCACTGGGCAAGTAAAAGAGTATTACTAATGGAAGTCCTCATCCCTTAGAGAGTTAATCTTTTAATCAAGACTGACATGTTATTAAAATTTAATTGCTACAGATACCTGTCATTTCATGACACTGCCTATTTCAGGGATTTGATTATTTCTGCTACATAGCCAAAAGTGATATTGATTCTTAGATAGCCAGTAAGAATACATCAGCTTTGTCAGACATATGTGAAGTAAGGAATTATCTTTTTCTGATGTGTTGAAAAAGAAGTACGTATATTAATACCAATGTCAGTGAAACTGTCTTTGAAAAAGTGGTTTATCTTCCCTGTGATTTTAATATCCCAAATTCCCATGACCCAGAGAAGATGAGAGATAGGGTCTGTACATTTATATCAATGTACTTGGCAACAGATATTTTAGCTATAATTTATTGAGAATATCCAATATCAAAAATGATCCTCTTTCCAAAAAAAGAGCAAAAATTTTTAGCAAGAAATGGCAGCAATGTTTATCATTAACACTTCCTTCAGTTTATGCAGGAATTAATCAGACCTGTGAGCTTTTTGAAAAAACAAACAGAACACAGGCTTTTACAGCTTTCCTAGCTTCAGCTTCCCTTATGCCTATTTCAGATTTCTAGGACAGGAAATTTTATGGTATTCAAATGAAACGATCAATATATTTGTGTTCTGAACTACAAAGAATCAGAGAAAATTGCTTTGTGTAGTAATTCTTGTGAGTTTTGCTGTCACCATTTTTGAACCCTGGAATTGTAAATATCATTATATACCTTTTTCAAAGATCAGTATTATAACTTCTTGATTTTCTCACTGTGAATTTTTTTTCTCATTCCATATTTTGGTTTGCTTATTTCTACAAATTCTGATATAAGTTAGTTTCAAATTCAATCAGATTTAATTGTCGTAATTTTATGTTGAAATGAACAGACCTTGTATGGACAACAGTTCATGGTATGTCCTGCTTGTGTCAAATAGAAGCTAGGTGGTAGGCTGGCTTGAAAAAATACCCCAAAACCCCTACCTCAATTTCCTTCAGTTCACTAATATTAACAACAAGGGAAATGGAAGATACATCTGTATTAATCTCTTTCATGTCTGCTGGAGAAAAAAAAATTACTGTTACCTACTACCATTGTCTTAGTGGAGGACAAAGATATTTTTAAGCTTTGCTATGCTATCCTGGAAGACCTGTCTACTAAAATTGTTAATCTCTTTGCCTGTGAGGTGCTTGGCCACCTGTGTCCTCAGAAATCAGGCAGAACTCATCCTTGAAAGAGAACTATGCGTTATCACTTGGACATGTATATTCATGAAGATAATTAATTGATTTTTTTCCCCTGCAACTGGTAAGATTTGTCTTTCAAAGTATGCCATGCACCCTTTTTAACAGAGGCGTTCCTTTCTTGATAAAGAAAGCAGTAAATATATCAGTAGCTCAGCCACGTTGTGAAGTGTCTCAAGATGGAAAACCAGAATATATTTGTCTGAACAGATCCAAACCCCCACTTGTGGTGCCTTTCTGATTTAGGCAGAGGAGAATCCAAGCAGTACTCAGTGGTTCATCAGCTAATAAATGAAGTTGATCGATCCTAAGCAGCAAATATGCTTGGCACCTGAGTCATGGGCAGTAGCATGGAGAGAAAGCACATGCATAGACAGTGGGGCTCTGGGAATTTCATCAATTCCTGAGTCTGCCTTCACTTTGCTAGGTGAGCATAGACTAAGCTTTTCATTCCAAGGCAGACTGTATGCAAGAGTTAGACTGTCTCCAAGTAGTGAGCTGTTCTACTAAATGTGAGAGACAGCCACTATTGCACGGAGAAGGTGGAAGAGCCTTGCCTTTCTTTTTAGCAGACTATGATCAGAACCCCTGAGCTGTGCCCTCATGCAGTGCAGACTGGTTCCTAGAGTCGGGATGAGGGATAATTTGATTATCCCAGGATGTACCTGTTAATACACTGCCTGGGAACCTTAAAAGGATGCTGCATTTCCTCGGCCCCTGGTTATCTACCTCGGGCCTCATCTTCAGGTAGGATGTCCTGTCTGACTTTAAGTAGCCACAACAAAGTTGCATAGGTTTATATGGAGGTGTTTGAAGAACTATACTTGGTCATCCATATGGTCTCATGCAGTGGTTTGGGGTTTTTTTGTCTGAGGAAACATGATACTCTACTGCTGTATCTCAGCACAGATGTTGAGACTATTTTTGCCAGCCAGATTATTCTAGCACATCTTTCATTTTTCTAAATAGGCATGCATGGAGCCCCCTTGCCTCTTCTCCCCATATCTGATGCAATATAAAATGCAGCTTTGATAGACCTTTTCCAACCCAAGGGTGCATCCTAGAGTCCTCCCTACAACCTCTCCAGCTTCCTATTGATTAACAGAGGAGAGAGTTGAAAATTTACTTCAGATTTGAGCTGATGGGGTAAGATAAAGCATAACTTATGTGAAGGGGAAAGCAGAACTGAACTGATGTAGAGTAACATAAGATTAGTAATCTACAGTTGCAATGTCAGTACAGACAGCTGAGCTAGCTGTGAAGCTGCAGGTTGGTCATCACTGTGATGCCTTTATTGATTAACAGAGGAGAGAGTTGAAAATTTACTTCAGATTTGAGCTGATGGGGTAAGATAAAGCATAACTTATGTGAAGGGGAAAGCAGAACTGAACTGATGTAGAGTAACATAAGATTAGTAATCTACAGTTGCAATGTCAGTACAGACAGCTGAGCTAGCTGTGAAGCTGCAGGTTGGTCATCACTGTGATGCCTTTTTTTTGTCCTGTCTATGTTATCCTGATTCATTTGAGCTAGCTGTAAAGCAGGGGAGCTTGATTACAGAAGTAGTCTAGCAGCTGCAGTGTGAAACATGGATTGATTTACTGTGCTAGCACATACCACACCTAGCGCTGTGGTGACAGAAGCCTCAGAATGCTGAGATCATGTACATTTACTGATAATTGCTGGACTGTGGGAGTGTTATTTAGTTGCATAATTAAGCATGCAGAAACGAGGGAATACAAGTCCCATAGCATATATTTATGAGACTTTAATTACATGATCAGATTCTATATTTTGCATAGAATACCTGCCTGCTACTTGTTATAATCTTACCACATTAATCGGAGGTTTTTCCCTTGTATTGAATGAGAATATGTCAAACATTTAATGCCTACAGCAGATGATGCTCATTCAGGGGATATTATTTCTGCTGGTAATGGCTAGTTTCTTTTTTTATCTTCATATTTAATGTATGTCTCCAGGCTTTCTTTATTGCACATCTGCCAGATCCTGCACTGAATGCAGAATGATTAATTTCCTCATAGGCTTTTCCGTGCTGTTTCTCACTGTGGTATCTTGAGTGCTCTGCAAATACAGTATTAATGAATTTCTTTTTACAACATCACTGTTACGTGAGGTTGCTTGCTGTGTCTGTCTCTCAGGGGCCTCCAGTGATTATTAATGGCAGCACAAGCACCAGAAGCCAGATATGAACATTTGTTTTCTATAGTCACAATAAATATAAAAAAGGTATATCAATAATTTAAAAAAATCAACCACCTATAAGTTCTCCCAGCTTGTGTTTTCAAAATTATTATTAAACAGGCTATAAACAGTGATGTTATTTTTATAGGACATATGTATATGAATACTGTGCATATATGTATATGACTCTCTTGTGAAAGGTGTGTTTGTCTGTAGGCAAAATTTGGCTCACTGTGTAAACAAATATGTTCTTCTTTGTCCTCCCTGTACTGTGACAGTAGCTTATTAATGCTTGTTTTCAAGATTATTGTTTTAGCCTTTTCTCAGCTGTGGCTCAGTCTACTAGACTGAAATATTTCTTGTGACCCTCCCCCTCTGCACATAATTGCATACCAGTCTTTGTTCCTCAGTAACATTTGAATAGTATTGTCTGCAATTAGCAGGTTGTTGTATCATTTCTTACGTGTACAGAATCTAAATCCCTCACTAATTATGACCTTATTTTAGCTGGCAGTGTTCATGCTTTTTAAGACATACCAATGGATTTTCTTCAGTTCACATTGCCTTCCTTTTCTGTTTGCATACATTTTCCCCAATACTCCCTTTTCATGAACCATTTTTCATATATTTGGAAAGAATGGGTTTTGTTTTGTCAGTGCTGGCTGAAAGGAGATATGAAAAGAGGAGTCTGTCCATGTCAGAATA